CAGCCATAAATCATGGCCAGCTGTAAACAGGCTGCCTGCCCAATAAAACCAGCAGGGAAACATGGTTTTCATTGGGAGAACGTCGTAAGTGGAAAAAGAGCATTTACTTCGCATAACGGTTCTCCCTTGGACATTTCACATTTGTTTACAGTCGATGTGCTGAGACTTGTGATTGGACACGTGATCTCAGCTGGGTCATTTTCAGGATGCATTATAAATACTGCCCTCCCCACCCCAGAGACAGATGCGAGTTTTCCCTGTGGATTGTAACTGGGTTGAGCTGTTTGATCATGTATGAGCAGGCCATATAACCCGGCCCCTTGCTGCTGAGCTGGGTAAGTCATCTTAGTCTTCATTGTCGTGTCTTCAATCCAACTTTGCTATATGGTCTTTTCCCAGTGTTTCCAGGTAAGTAAACTGGTTGCTTGACGAAGAGAAGGGCTCAGTTATTGCTGTGGGTTTTAAGTTCAGCGTAATTCTTACAGAGGGGGTATGCACCTTTCAATGGGGAAACGTGTGTCTGAAGCAGCACCTTGCCCTCCCCACATCACTCATTCGGCCCAGCTGAGGTTTTTCATGGCTGGTGAGCATCGAGATGCATTATTGCTAGTGTATGATCTGAGAAATGCCACCCAGATCTGTGTGTGTGTGTGTCTTGGGCTCCTTTTCCAAGGAGCCTGAGCCTGATGAAGTGCGTGGGGCTGGGTTTGTAGGAAGCCCTCGACACTTTGCCTTTTCTATTCTGGTGCTCAATGCAGGGACCCAAGCAGAGCCCAAATCACCTGCCCACTGCCTCCAGGCCCTGCAAAGCCAGTGGGAATAGCAGACACCTAAGTTTTGCCTGTAAAGTCAGCAGAGGTGATGCTGAAGGAGAAACACTGAAAGTGCTGCTTTCACCAGCTCACTTGTTAACCATGTTTGCTCCCTAAGGCAGCGGTTTGCAGTCTGTGGTCCTGAGGTTTTGCACACTATGTCTAAGGCAACAGTTCCCAAAATATGAGTCACGACCACAAATGGGGTCACACCATGAGCGGATGGGGTGGCTGTGAGTTGGGAGTGAGGAAATGGGGCCATGAATGGTGTCGTGCTGAGGAAAAGTTTGGGAAGCACTGCTCTAAGGCACCCCCGAAAGATAACTATGATCAATCAAACATATGTGAATACCCGCACTTACAATTCAAAGGGGTCTGCACATCCATTTGAAATCTTTTAGGGGTCCACAAATGGGGGGAAAAAAAGGTTGAAAACCATTGCCTTAAGGAAATGTCCACGTCCTTGCTTTTTTCATGTGATGTTCAGGTTGGCAGTGAATCGGTAGTGGAGGGAAGGAGAAACAAGCTCTGGGTGGAAGATAAGGAGACAGACGATGCTTTCTGCCAGTCTATGATTGCTTATGATGGCATTCGATTTCCTTAAAGAGCTGATATTTGTTAACGCTTTAGCAGCAAATGGGGACAAAATAGGTTGGAGTTGACTGTAGGGGCATATGATGGACAACATGTGGACTTATCCCAAAGACTCTTCTTCTGGAGAGCACCTTGATCCAGTGTAGCTCAGTCCCCATTGAAAGCCACTCAGAAATTGCCATTGGGCTTTAAATGCACACCCTGTCATGGTCCAAACTAACTTTCAGGTGCCTCAATCAGTGCTTCAATGCTGTATAGAGCAGCACTTTAATTGTCTGGAGAGATGGGCAGGAGCTGTTAGGGAGGCAACACAAAGCTTTTAATGCAGGAAAGAAACAGGTTGCTTGGAGATGCTTCCCCCTTTCGCACCCAGGAGTCCATCATAAAAAATGAAGGCTTGAATATTACCAATTCTGCAGCAGCTTTAATTGGGATGGAGTTGCTCAGGCTACCCAAGGGTGTTTGCTGGAAGCAGCATTGCATTATACGACTGTAAGGAAATGCTCTACAGGATCAGCCCTGTGCTACATCTAGTCCTTTCTCCTGCATCTGAGGGTGAAGCACTAGTTGCTTCAGTGGAAAAGGTTCGCCGCCTTTCATGTAGGCTCTCTGCATTTGGGCCATGTGCTGTTTTTGTTGCATGGTTGCCTTTGCACCTGACACTGTGGGGCCTGAAGCCCTGCTTTGTATGGTTTCTAGGGGCCGGCGTAACTTAGCACTAATAATAATAGCAGGACAGTTTCTTCCCAGTCTCCATCATGAAGAGAACAGCTTATTATACCTTAAAGATTGATGTTGCCTCTCCAGGCTTTAGGATTTATGATTTTACTTGCCAGGAAGGTTGGAGTTTAATGGAACAAGATCTTATTAAGCATGAAATCCAGGCATCGCTGTTTATCTAAAGCAAACTGTTTTGTGTTAACCAGCCCCCTCTGTCAGCGCTGTCATGATTGAGCTGGAATTTCCCCTGGCTCTTAATCATTATGCAGATGGATCATGACTGCTAAACCCCAGGGTATTCAGTTTTCATACAGAGGCTGCTACGTCCATAGTTTCCACGTACTGCACGCAAAATGGGTCCTCAGGGTGCTTTCAAGGGGCACAGTGCTCAATAGCTAGATGTATATAGATCCAGCTGAGCTGCCTGAGTTTCAGAGGTGTGCACCTCCTCACTTCGGAGGCCATTGAAGGTAGCGAGCACCTCTGCAGATAGGGGTTTACGTGCTTCTGCAAGCCAGGACTGCAAACACTGGCCCTAATATCTCTGCACCTGAAACTGAATGGGTGCAGAGCTGCCATTCACGTGCTGGTTAGCAGGCACTGCAGGTGCTTTGCCTATGCATCTCATTTGGGCCATGTCCTTCCTCTGGAGCTTTTGCCCTGCAGAATGGATACAGACAGCATGGAGATCTGCATCTGCACTCAAACAAGCCAGGATACCCTGCAGACAAATTCAGAGTTGCATGTGTCGGTGGCATGAGAGACTCAGGGCCTCGTTTGGATGGCAATCCCCATGAAAAATCTGCAGAGTCATAACTGTTACATGGTTAAGCAAGGGTGGGTAAAATCCAGCCCACGGTGAACTCAATTTCCCACAGTGATGGCTCCTTCTGGCTGCCAGCCCCAGCCCCACTGCCCAGGCACTCCAGCCCACCCGCCCTGCACCTGCCGCCAAGGGTGGGCCCCGAGCAGGCAGGGCACATGGCTGGGCACCTGGGATAGGGGAGCAAGACAGGCTGGCAGGACCGGGGAGACCTCAGGATCTTGGGATGGTGAGAGCATGGGGCCAGGGCTGGGGCCAAGGTCATGATCTGCTACCTGCATGCCCTTGCAATGAGCATGGGTTTTGTGGGCAGGGGCATTCAGGGTGTGCATTGTGGCTCTGGCTTGGCCCCATGCTGTCACCACCCTAAAATCCCAGCCCCAGCCCTAGAGCAGCAACCTGCTCAGCCACATGCCTTGTCCACACAGCTCCTGGCCAGCCTCCATAGAGACCCTGGGATTACAAGACTGTGACAGCACAAGCCTGGGGCTGGGGCTGGGGCTGGGGCTGGGGCTGGGGCAGAGCCCTCCATCCTTGGGTAGGGGCATGTGGGAAGTGCATCACAGCTCTGCAGCGGTCCCACACTATGATGGCTTCACGATCCTACGGTCTCCATTGACACTGGCTGGGAATTGAGTTATGTTTCTGAATAAACCTAAGTATCACTTGGGGAGTCGGTGGTACCTGAGAGGCCTGTTTGTAGATTTGCAACACACATCTACACATTCACTAATGCACCATAGTTACTGCACATTAAGTGTAGTACTTGTATAACCAAATACTAAATCAATGCACAGTAACTGGTGCCACTGCACAGTAGTGCCAGCACACAGCTTTTTAGTGATGCTACCTGAGCAGTAGTCTAATAATACTGCACAGTAGCTTATTAGTAGGGTTGAATCTATTCCAGGAGGTTTTATCACATGATGTAATGACATTAATGACTTTACATCAGGAAGGAAAATGCACATTACTATTACATTTTAGAAACCCACTGGACAACTGTATAAATCAGATTCAACATTTAATATTTATTTTAATGAATGCCTTATCATTTATCTCCTGGGTGACTCTCAGCAGTCTCCTGGAGTTTTATCTCTAATTCCTGGAGACTCCAGGGCAATCCTGGAGGGTTGGCAACCCTATGTACTAACAAGGTTTTTGCCCTGCATGCTACTGAGCAGTAGGATTAGGCTACTGCAGTTAGTGTCTTGTGTAGATGCACCCTCCGTGTCTCAATCTGACTACCTAGCCTCACAAGCCCTTTTCAGAAACCTCAGCTAGTATCTTTGATTCTGTTTGTCAAACACCAAGCGCACATTGGTGGACCTGCGTACAGCAGTGCCTTTTGCACCTTTTGTAGACATTAATGAGCCTCACTCTGTCGTGGTCTCTTGTTCGTTCCATGGTTATATACTGAAAGTTATATACTGGATGTTTCAGAATATGTTATGGATAATAAAGGAGATTTGCTTACATAAAATGATTGTAAACTATACTTATATCATTCTCCTATATGTATACATCAGGATTATGGTAAGATGGCTGTATTCGCAGAGCAGTGAGAATGAAAAGCTGCCTGAAGGGAAGAGCAGCAGGAGCTTCTCAAGCGGAGGCTGGAGAGGCACTGGGGTGGGGTGGGCTAGGAACAGCTCATCTTCCATCTGTGCAAGGGGTTGGACTAGAGGTACCCTGAAGTCCCTTGCAACTATAAGGTTCTCTGATTTCTTTTGAAACCAATGGTTCTCATCAGCTCTGAAAAGCAAGGTCTTTATGGCAAGGAAAGTTTTTTATGCACGTACGTAGTATGAGTATGCACCATGCATTTATTGCCTGGATATTGTTTTTGCTTCCAGCTGTAGAAGACAAAAGATGAGATTTAAATGTGAGGATGGTCACAGAGAATAAGGAAAAACAGTCAGTGTTTAGCACAAGGAAAGGTTAAAGTGAAGTTAGTAATGTTAGCTCAACCATTCATCCTGCCAGGGGATGAAATGTCCCCTAGCTAGGGGAAAAGCAGCAAAGAGGTAATAATTGCAGAGAGCAAAAACTTAAATGAATCATGTCTAGGGAAGATGGTGAGAAATTCCAAGGGGACCCAGAAGTCTTAGTCAGGGATGACAAATGTACAATAAAGTCTTACGATTCCTATAAACTATGGGAACCCAATACCATGGTTCATTGGGATCAAATAATTAAAGATGCCTGCTGTCCAGTGGTTCTGAGCTTTGTCCACTTCCCCTAGAGCCAATCTCCATCCCTTTTAACAGGCTTGGTAAGGAAGTGAGACATCATCGAATAACATACTCAGTTCTGACACATGCAGGGCAGTGGGAATTTTGCCATGGACCTTCGTGGAAATTGAATCCAGCCTCAACTTAGAACC